AGCAGTGTGTTGAATAGGCGGGGCAGCGCGGCTCTGTTACTCGGACTCCGGAAGGCCCGTGGGCTCCCGCCTGAGGGCGCAGGCTTCGGAGCTCCTGCAAGAAGCGCCGTGCTGTTCGGCCGGTGTCCGCTGTCTGTCATTCTTCCATTGAACGCTTACTGGGATCGGCAGACCGAAGGGGATTCAAAACTCTTGCTCTGGGACTAGCACAAGGGTGCCACGGAGGCAGCTGAATGCCATTTCAGCCTGCAGCTGGAAAAATCAGTTGGGGGTGCAGCCTGGAGTTCAAAAGCACCTGCAGACTTCCCAGGAAACGTTCACGGTGATTTCAGAAGTCCCGTCGCATAAGCAGCATCGTTACGTAAGTGCAGAACAGGAGTCGTCAAGGCTAGACGTACTGGGAGCTCGCATACCTGCGGGTTACCTGCGAGGATGAATTTAAGACTGTTGAGGGTTACACAACAGCAGACCCTGATGGGTCCTTCGTACACAGAGTAGTTTTAAGGTGCATCAGTTTCCTGGGCGTATGGCCAGCATTCTTCCCTCAGGTGCATTTTACAAGCCCAGAGTTTCCGGAAAACTTTTACCGTGGACGTGAATCATTTTCACTTCAAGTGAGCAAACTGCAATTCTAAATTGATTTGTGGTGAGATGACTCAGGTTTTAGCAGGCACAGTTAGACTGTTCAGTACCAGCTCACTGATTTTTCTGTAATCATGAATTCTTTTGAAAGCTGTGCCTTCACTACCAACCCATGACGTGTTTCAGGGAGCAGAGGAGTGGAGGAAAATACACCGAATCACCTATACCACTACAGCTGTATTTAGTACTATGGATTAATAGATGCTAACAGGGTGATAGTCTATTTGTACATTGGCAGACTGACTTCACAATGACAGATTCAGCTAGTACTTCCTCTCAGTATTTTAAATCATAAACTATAAAAAAAATACAGGGCAAATAGTAATTGGGACAAAATCAGAAAACATGAAGTTTAATTTAAAAGTTAGTTTAACAAGAAGTTAAAAGAATTTGACAGCTCACTCTTAGCTGCAAATATTGCATCATTTTATAGTGGTACTGTAAAATGAGGGAAGAAGAGGAAAGAACCCACAGAGAATAAAGACAGCAGTTAGTTTTTTGTCATTTGGATCCAGACATCAGCACAGGGTTTTTTTGCCAAAACTTTCAGATGCACAAATCAGTTGCATGTGTTCCAGATTACACAGTGTTCCATCTTAGTTAAATAAAAAAGCACAAAGATTTTTAAAGTTAAATTAGAGATTGTGTTTACTAACAGAGGTACTTTGCTTCCTAAGGAGTTCATCTAAACAGTGCAGTTCTGTTACCTTGTATTGGGTTTGCGTGGCAAGGTT